TATATATATATATACATACAGTTGTATATTTAGGCAGTAATCCTTCCTTTATGCATGTTTCATTACATCGGTTACACAACCACATGCTTATCCAGACGTCTTACGTTACACCTATCTGATCACAGCTCCATTAGAACCCATTTAAACACACACACAAATTTAACAGACTCCATTAGAAACATACTAGCAGAAAACACAAATATATTAACTGCATCCACCTTCAAAAAAGACTAAAAATAATGGAAGCTTTAATAATAAAAAAGAAAAAGCCAACTCTTAACAATATTAACTACAAACAAAGCCACAATGTGCTAACCGTATTTGGAAATTAAAAACATCCCTACCACACACTAAGATATACAAAGAACGCACACACATAATCAAGCTGAAAAATCGCATCATCCTTGATAATGGCTAAAGGCATAGCCAAAAGTGGTCGGAAATATAAAACATTTGGACGGTTCTTACACACCAGAAAAGAAAGCTCTTGTTCGAACACAAGAAAAATTAAATACGCTTAACCGAATTAACCGTGTCTGTCATTTTTAAGGAAACATGCATGCATATATATATATATATATATAATCCAACTATTCTTTTCTGAGTGTCCCAGCCTGCTAGGGTGACTAGCCAATTCCTGCTGGGTTTTTTTTGACCGATTCATTTTCTACAGCTTAACAAATTTGCAGGTTATTTAAAGCCAGAGCATATTTTTAGAGTGTAACAATAATATTGATTTAGTGATGCAAGTCTTACTAATTAAGGGAGAATTTGATAAGAAAAAAAAAAAGAAAGAAAGGAAAAAGAATTATAAAGTGTATATATAGTTGGGATTAATTATATATTATAATCAATATATAAACTGATCCCTCACTTTCTGGCTTCGGTAGTTTCTATACATTTATATTCCAGAGAATTTAAATAAATCTAAAAGCCGTGCCTGTGTAGCTAATCAATATTTCAGTGATTGATTCTTTTTCTACAGCTTATTAACTCTTTGCAGGTTTTTTAAAACTAGAACAGATTGTAAGAATTTTAGGGGGCTGGGAATAATGATTGTAAGAATTTTTGGTAGATATTCATAATTTACTGATACAAGTCTTACTAATTGATGCATGACTTGTGGGAGAAGATGTCGATTCATAATTTTTCCAATGCTAATTGAAAACATTAATTACCCCCCTCACTTATGTACTACTTGCAGAAGTGAATCTAACAAGCCCAACCGGAATTGGAACACTGCTTTTATTATGTTGTGGCCTCCAGTCTTCATCAGGTGATGGTCAATCACAGTAACCATAAAGGAATTTTGTGGTGAACACTTTATTAAATCAAGAGGGTGGGATGTTCTCATTCTGCTGAAAACGTCTAGGAATATCTCATCTAATTCTTATTTAGTACTGCTCAGTTATTGCTCACCATGTTTCCACTGAGAGCAAGTCCTAGAAGATTAAAGTGTTAGTTTGTGAGTTTGGCAATGTAATGGTTGCAACTCGAGGTGACGGAGATGTGGTTCTACAGAAGGCTGCTAATGTTGGCCATGTTCACCATAGTCTATGAATATAGAATACAGCGCAGTACGTAATCTGTTCAATGAAACCACGTTAAAGATTAACACTCACGAGTCAGACACTCTACTGAATCTGATGAAATATATTCTGTGCATAAATAATTTTGTATTCAAGAAACCCAGACAAAAAAAAAAAAACATTTTTTTTTTTTTTTTTCTCATTACAGGAGACCAGACTTGATATATCCGAAGAAAAGAACAAAAACAAAAAATGTTGTATATAAACTCCAGCCTTGCAGAAGCGCTGTGAAGTGGATGCCGATCATCATTCCTATTATTATTGTTATGATACTTATGTTTGTTGAGTCATTGGAAATGCAGCTGTTATCTATATCTACAGCTTTGTGTTAAAGAATACCACGTTTCATTATTTCATCACAGTGCTGGCCGTTTTTGACTTTATCTGCTCTTTTCTCGGCTCCCCACTGGAAATAATAGAATTTTATAATCCAATGGAATATCCTTCAAACGGACTCTGCAAGTGGCAACGATTCCTTACCTTCTGCTGCAGCATTGGCTCCATATTCGTTCTGCTCCTCATCTCTATTGAACGCTATCGAAAAGTTTGCCGTCCACAGAGCTACCAGTTAAACTTACAGCATGCAAAGTATCTCACAATTGGAGCCTGCTTTTTCTCGGTACTATTTGCCACCCCAATTACGATCTTCTCTCAAAACAGGTTAATACAGCTGAAGGGGACTGGAAACCTAACTGGTTGTGACTGCCGCCTGAGTAACAGCTACAGCATCCTCCCCTTGTTTTATTTCATCTTCCTTTTGATCTTTGCCACCATTACTCTTGCGACTATGTTAATACTCTCTGACCTCCTATGGCAAATGGCAAAACACTTTCTCAAGTTGGATTTTGTACCAACAGAGTTTAAATAAAGACTGAAGCAGGAGGAAGATCTCTGGCCAGGCGTCAACTCAGTCGTACCAATCACACAGTCATATTGGTTACTGTTCTTTTTACCATCAGCTTCTTCCCGACGCTGCTTTTAGCATCTTCGCTGATCAACTTATGGCCAACATGAGTTACAGAGAGCAGCTCATCTTCTTAATGTTCATTCGGATGTATATTCTCAATAGCTCGTTTAATTTTTTTTTTTTTCTGGCACTTAAGTAATTTCAGAAACGCTTTTGTCAAACTGTTTTGGCAGATTCTTTGCATATCACCAAAAGACATACAAAGCTCGTCTAAAGAGACATCTTGAAATGTGTTTTCGGCAAACATAGATCTTTTTACTCGTAATAAGAGAGTGTCAAAAGAAATGTTTTTTCCTTCACACCACTATTATTTTAACTACCTTCACTCCTCAGCAATGTTTGTTTTAAAAAGCAAGATTGGAATTGTAATAAAACCTAGACATATGGAAGTGAAATTATATATTCTTTTTCTTCTTAAGAATTTACAACACAATTTATCTGTTAGATAGTTTACTTATAAGAATAATTTTATATTTACAACATTCTAAAAACTAATAGAATTGTATTAAAATTAATGCAATGCAATATTTATCATTTACCAATTTATAAAGAAACATGAAATCAATTTTTTTTTTTTGTTCATGAATTTATAAGCATTTATGAAATTGTTAAATTATACCAACCAACTATGGTGAAATCTTATTTTATAAAGTTTGAATGAACTGGAAATTAGCCAATGTTTTGCCAACCATTCCAATAAACAATCTAATAAATAGTGTTTATTTTTTTGTCAATTCAAGAACAAAGAAATGTAGAAATTTATTTTTCATATTTGAATGATTTACAATAATAATAATGTTATATTTACAACATTCTGAAAACTCATACAATTAAAACTAATGCAATATTTATCATTTACCAATTTATAAAAAAACACATGAAATCAATTTCTGATTCATAAATTTATAAACATTTAATTTATTAAAATATGTGAAGCAACTATAAGTAAATTTTTATTTACAATTTTATAAAGTTTGAATCAATTGGCATTTAGTCAATGTTTTTTGCCAACCATTCAATAAAATTAAAATAGTATAAATAATCAATCAAATAAATAGTTGTCTGTTTCTGAGATGAGGTATTATCTACATTATTTACATTATTCAGTGTAGTGTGTAACTCAACAATTCAACTGATGATAGCAGGTAGGCTTAAAGAAACTCGGTGACCCACATCCAACCTTCTCACGAAAGTCTCCTCTCATTTGAAACAGCAGAAACGAGCCTGCTTTTATACAGCTGCGGACCGACATCCGATTTCCATGCGAATCACGGCAATATGGTTTCCGTTAACTGACCCGAGACCGCTCGGCATAAAGCGAGCGCCGCCATTTTGGTTTTATTTTACAGTTGAAGGACCAGAGTTTACATACTGCGCGCAGATTCGAGCAGCGTTTTTCGGTGACCATTTCACAATTTTCTCTCCACTCCCCATGATCTCAGGGGATCGACAAACAGGATGGGGATTTGGCAATCGTCAAAATCGAAGTCCCTCTCCGGGGGATAACACAAGGTCATCCTAACAAACGGTTCTCTCCTGTGGTTTGAGGTCGGTAATCACTGCAGGGTTAACTAAAGGTAGATTGAACGGTCCTACTCCCAGACTCGAATCGCTTTCACCAACGATCTTCGGTAGCGGTAGTGATCAACTCTCAAGTTGACAGTCTTTAATGTGACAGGCATTTATCAACTCTCAAGGGTGCGGGCCGATAACCTCCAAAACTAACCTGGCCATGGGCCTGTAGGATCAATCTCTATTTGACTGGGTTTTTGGCTTGTAAAACGATGTCTCCTTTTCAATCGCTCTCAGTCACTTCTAGTTTGAAAGCGGGTTTAAAAGCAATTATCTTGAAAATGATATTTGTCGGTACATCTCAAACAAATTGGATGGTGAAATGTTATCGCCGGGTGAGTTTATTACCAGTAAACTGATTTGATACTGTACAGCCCTTCCCTGGCTGCGATGGTCTCGATGGTTCTGTGGTTCCAAACACACTATGCCCGTTTCGGTAACATTATACGCTAAAGTGATTCTCCGTTCCCAGTTTGTCCGCAAATTCTTTAAAATGGGGATATACTGGTCCCGCCAGTATCGTTATCCGTCAGTATTTCCATGGGTGGGCCTCGCTCAGGAAAACATTCTCAACAGAAAAATGTTTCATCTCCTCGGCGTCTTGTCTATATGGCGGCATGACGCCAAACCTGGAGGGAAACAAAATCAAAAATTTGTAAAAATTCTCACCATTGTAGTGAGTTATGTCATTTTCAGTCTGAATTCCAGTTGCTCTTCACGCTCAGTTCTCCTCTTATATAGTATAGCGGTGCGGATATATCGACTGACAGGTTGTGCAGGCCTTCTGTGTGTGTTGCGCTTTTCTCTGGACACCTTTGGTTTGGACTAACCTGAAAGTTACAGAGTTCGTTTCCGCCGGATGTCGCGTGATAATGCGTATTGGCAACTCTTTGGTCCTCATCCAATCGTCTCCTCCCCTGCACACGGTTTATCTAGTGCGGTTCTCCTCTCTTGAGCAGTTCGTCCCCACCTGTGTCGGCTTAGTGGTGAGGAATCTGCACAGTTCTGACAGGACTGTTGGTTTCCTATCTAACGGTCGAAATCCATATTCGTCCACCAACGATGTAAAAGTCTGTCTCGCCTGATTACTATCTCATATATATATATATGTGTATATATATATATATATCAGGTGTCTAAAAATCATGAAATCATCAATAATCATACCAAGATTTTAATCGCCTCCACTGGATAACCAAGATTCCTCCTTTAGCGCCGCGCCGAGTTCAACAATTCAACTGGTGCCTGGCATCGTGAAAGAAACCGAAGCCAGTACGCATCTTGAAGGCATTCCTTTTCGTTTAAACAGCAGGAAACAGAGCCTGCTTTCCACAGACTGTGATCCGACCACCACTCATGCACCAGTCTCCTCCGACGGGACCCAGTTTTTCTCTATAACATCTCTGCTAGTATGCGACAGAGAGGGATCTTTGATGTTATCATCCCATCCATTGGTTTGCGGTTGCCAGGCGGCAGCGAATGCAACTGCCACCCTGAACCATCCACACACTGGGAAGTGTCCAACAAGTTTCCCTGCTGAAAATCTGGCGCGCCAGGTCACACATCAGGGCTTCGATTTGACTTCCTCGTTTCCATCGGAGGGTGCCATTTTCTTCCCAGACCTGCAAGCCAAGAACTCTTGCTCCATCTCTCAGTCGCACCGGATCCTTACACGCAAACCGTAATCGAAAAGTGTTGTCTTACGTGATGCAGAGGCCAAACTTTCATTAATGAAAGATATCATCAACGTATGTGGCGGCTTTCAATTGTGCGGTCTTCGCGATGCGATAAGCGTCTATAACGGTTTCATGATGGTGGCGCTACATTTTAGCCCAAATCCCTAGCCGCGTAAAGACAGAAGCGTTAGCCTTTGAAAATAACCGTTTGAAATGGCCTGGCGCTTCGTCGATGTGAATCTGAATATCGTTCCACAGATCCAGGCGACACATTGACTCCCTGCCGCCGCCGTTCTCAACTTATGTGCGCACACTTCTGCATCGGCAGTGAAAAGCATCCACAAGTCGTTCAATTCAGCGGTAATCAGTGCGGACGCACCTTCTGTTTCTGCTCCTGCACGACTGCCATCAAGGAATCAGACCCTTTAGGGTCCCAGTCTTTCCTGAAGTGCGGAATCAACCAGCCGTTCACAATCCTGCTGAAGCTCTTTCGTATTTTCTTCTGATGCTGTCTGGAACTTTGTACTCAGCGACCTTGTTCTTGGCTGAGACTGGCAGATCTTTTGGGCCCATTTCCACCTGGCAGTCCACTCTCTCGTCGGAATTGAAGGAGACGTCAGAAATCCGGCTCACTAACGCAAAGGGCTGCACACCTTTCTTCTTTCACCCAGTTCCACATTTCCGGCTGGCGTGATCATCATGCCTCTAACGCTCGGATCGCATCAATCCCAAGTAGCAGGTCGTACCCAAGGGCCTTTGACGTGCCACCAAGACGTCGACTTTGGCATGACTCCCTCCGTCTGTTAGGGCGGACTGAGTCCACACCACAACAGGCCGGGACACCCGTCAATCGTCGAATCTCGATTTTGACTGTTCCATGTCTCGCATCGATCGCACTAACGATCGATCAGGAACATCCAGTCATCAGCGCCGACATCGTTTACCCTCAGCATTGCCGCGTTGACAACGGGCAATGCGCGTTACTGACGAGGGGGCAAGGGTTGCGACCTTTTGCTTGTCCCGGACTCATTCCAAGCAATCCTGTGCTACATGGCCTAACTCTTTGGCAATAAGCGTGGTCGTTTCAGTTCCGTCTGCTGCTCCCCTACGTCACCGGCTCCGGCAGTCCCTAGAGAAATGGTTGGGTCCACCGCGCTTGCAACGCTGGGCCCTCCCCCGGTGTCTCAGGCGTTCTCACGGCTGCCGCGATCTGTTCAGTGTCCATCAAGATGTTTCGGGCCCTGGCTAGCAATTCGTCAATTCCCAGTGTGTCCAATCTTGAAGACGCTCGCGGGAGCCGACTGGTGTCGTCGGGAAGCCCCTGCCAGGAAAAGCGCCCAGTATGCGGTCCGTTGCTCCGTAAACGGTACTGCCAACCGCCGCAAATCAGCCAGGTAAACATCCGGTCTCACCCGGCTCGAGCCGTCCGTCCGACGAACTGTTTCCAAGCGATGAATGGATCTATTCAAAGGCCGTATACAGGGCGTCCTTCATCTCTTCTGGTCAGCATCGTCCCGAGTTGTTGATATACTGCGTGAAGCTCCTCCCGTTAGGTCTCAGTGGGATGACTAGTGCAGGTTCCTTTATTTTTGGACACCCTGCAAACACGTTCGGCCTTTCAAACCATTCGACGATACGATAGTCAGGCCCGTGGGGGCCGTCGAATTCTGGGATCAACTTTAGATGAACTTGTCAC